ACTGACACGGTTTACCGTGGTGTAGCTACGCGAATGTCGATGGACTCTCACGCTGCTCGTCATAATCTCCGCCTTTCAAGCGTCACGTCCTGCACAGACTCTACGTGCTGCACGTCAAGCTTCTAAAACGGCACCGTCGTTGAACCATCTCATTTCCAAGTATCGTAACGGCTTTTCACACTTGCACTGTTTGATGTTACAATTAATATTCCGAGATTAATATTCGGTGTCTGTCCACTGGTCCCTACGACGTACGGAACACCCACAACAGCTGATCGTCCTCAGTGTCTCGAGACAGAGGGAGACAGATAGAAAGAGAGAGGAGATAGAGAGGAAGGAGAGAGAGAGAGAGAGAGAGAGAGAGAGAGAAAGAGAGAGATAGCGCGCGCTTGCGAGGTAGTCGTCGACGTGAAGGAGTAAAACCGGAGTAAATGTTGGTAAACGCGCTGCTTGGCGAACGTGCCGAGCGACGTGATATTTGATAACCGTGATGTACGCCCGAAACGCGACGACGCGATGACGGTCGCGCTGCTGCACGTCGTAACCAGCGCTTCTCTTCTTCGCCAACGGTCGTTGCTAATGATCCGTCACCATCACCGTCACCGTCACCGTCACCAACGCCGTCGTCGCCGCTTTCATTGCTGCGTGTGTCCACGGTAGTCCACGGTATAGGAAACACGTCCCACTCTGTCGTATCGCCCGTGTTAGCGCGCCACGGTCTTCGCTAACATTCTCACCTTCACCGTCGCCTACACTACTGTGCATGACAACGATGACGACACGCGCACACGCATGCGAGCCCATGCGCGCGAGCGCGGGCGCGCGTTCATACTTCATAAATTATCTGAACCGCGATAGTACTCTTCCGCCCCCGCTTCCTTATTCACCCTTCTCGCAGAGATCGGTCATCGGCGAAGAACGCCACGACCGCAGACTGATATGGATATAGTGGATCTAGAGTGAACCACCCTCGCGATTAGCGCAACCGCTTCTATTTTAGTTGCGAGGGTAACGTTGTGACAACGTTACCTCCGCAGCTATACTAGCTGCCAGTTAGGGTTATCAGCCACATTCTTTTAAGAGAATAATTAATTTAATTTTATATTTTTATAAAATCATATTTTAATAAGAATTGTCAATAAAAATTACATATTAAAAATTATTTTGTTAAATATCTACATTTAAGGAGATTCTGAAGCCGTCTATTAACAATTAAAACCATATAATTTTTGTAAAACAATTACTTTTTCCCTTTTTTATAGATTTCATTGAAAATCCTTTTTCAAAATTATAATAAAATATACGCGTTAGGGTTGATTTATAATAGGCCGTAATCTGTTAACTTTTTCCGTAATCTTTACCTTCTAGGGACACTAGACGCGATGGGCAATGAGCGACGAGCGATATCCAATGAGAGCTTTGATTTGCATCGTCACGTGAGAAAAAGCAGAGCTTTCATTGGATATCTCTCGTCGCCTATCTCGTTCAGTGTAGAGTCCTATACATAAGGAGAAGCGATATCGAACCCCCACCATCGGATCGGATCCCTACCATCACTCCCTACGCCGCCATATTTCGACCGCTTCAGTGTCGTAAACATAAACATACTCTAATCACCATTGTACTCTGTTGACTCCATTAGCGAAGGGAGCTCTGTATTTCATTACTTTACATTTATAATAGATATTTTAAGCTTTAAGTCGTAAAAAACCAATTACTTAACCTTTGACCAATTACTTAACCCCGGATCTACAATAGAGTTTTAAGCCTTAAGTCATAAGAAATGGACGAATCATAGTCGATTATTCTCTTCGAATTCGACTATAATTGGTCAATTTCTTACGACTTAAGGCTTAATACACCTATTGTAGATCCGGAGTAAGGCTTATATAACTCATTAAATAGTGCAAACAACTCGACGGCCACGTGTGTCAGCTGTGTAAACAGCTGCGGTCACAATATGGCTGCTTCACTTAGGAGGGGATATCCAATCAGAATACATATCAGACTGCCAATCAGAAACTCGGACGTCAATGTCGCTCCTCTTTATATATAGGACTCTAATCCAGTGTGCAGTAGGCATAATGCCTAATTCACACTGGACGCGATGGGCGATGCGCGATGAGCGATGAGATAGCAAGATTTAATTTTTGTCCGTTCATACTGGGTGCATTCAGTACTACAACCGCTCACTGAGCACTCAGTGAGCTCTTCAATCTATCAGAAATCATATATGTGGAATACATAGTTTCTGATAGGTTGAAATTCTTATTCTCTGTTTCCTGTTCCTTTTATTCTGCGCAACTCCTTAAGCCGGAATCAGACTATGCATTGAAGATTGAGATTGAAGATTGAAAGATTGAAATTTGACCAATCAAAACAATAGAAGCTAAAATCCCTTTGTCCTCATTGGTCAAATTTCAATCTTCAATCTTCAATCTCAATCTTTAATGCTTAGTCTGATTTCGGCCTTAAGCCGTAATCGCATTACAGGCTCCCGACTCTGACTCGACTGCCAACTCTGACTGTCGGCTCATAATGGACCAATAATAATGAGATTAATTTATTGTTATTGGATCTTTAGAGACTCTCTAATCAGAGTCGCGACACGAAACGATTTGAGCCGACTTTTGTATACAGGGTAGTAGTTTCAACAAAATTGATAACAGAGAGAGAGAAATATATTAGTCTGTCTAACCTTAACGCATTTCTAACCTATCTGTGCTGACGGCAGCTGATGGAACATGCGTATTATTGTATTCTATAATTTGTATTAAAAGTTATTGAAGAAAGTTATTAAAAATGGTTGAGTGTGTAGCTCCATTTTGTAACAACTCAATAGCCAAAGGCCACATATTAAAAGCATTTCCTCGAAATGCTAAACGTCGTGCTTTATGGGCGAAAAATGTTAGCGAAAGATGTTGGGCAAATGCGTGTGAAAAATTGGACGCCTGCAACAGCAAATTCTTTTCTCACATGCGTTATTTCATGTAATGTAAGAAATCTTAATGCCTTTAAAATAGTTAATTTTAATTATATTGTTGAAATTTAAGAGTAACACGAATATAGTATTCAAATATAGGCGGGAATTGTGTTGAAACATGCCGGACCAATCAAAATACGGCTTTCTGATGTCGCGACTCCGATTAGAGGGTCTTTAAAATAAGTCAGAAATACTTTTTAATTCGTAAATTATAAATCATCATACACTCATCTTTTTTATCTTTTATAAAATATGCATATTTAAATATAAATATATGCTTAGACTATTAACATAAATATATGCTTGGACTGGGGGTGACTGGAGGTGTATTCCGTTTCCACATTCACATGCTGTAAGCATCAGTTCATCCTTGTTGTCTATCAATATATTAAACAAGGACAAACGATACTGTCAAGCGCAAAACGAATCACACCAGAGTCTGTATTCTCTCTCTCTGTAACTCATTAATCTCATTATGCAGTCGTTATGTGTTTCTAATGATAATTGCGCAGCTTTTTTACTACATAAGATATCTGTGCAACTGTCTGTATGAGCGTCGATATAACAAGTTACTTGTTGCATAACGAGTTATAAAATTCTGCTGCTAGGGCTGTTCTATCATTGCGCAGTTATTTTACCATGATAAACGATAACGAAACTTTGCATTAAGAGTTACAGAATAAAGCCACTGAATTGAAAAAAACGATCATATGACGATAATATATGACGAATAAAAGATGATCTCAGAATTATAAGTTTAATTAATTGAAAACTTTATTGTTTATATTATATATACAAAAGGGATGATTAATTTAACGATTTATCTTATCATACGAGTAAATGAAATTTATTAATTTAAATTGAATTAGTATATATATCGCAAATACACTTATGTTTATGTATAAATGACGATGTGCGATATGTGTATGTATACATACATGTTGATATTTACATACGAGCGATTGAAATAATGTGTTTATCGTTCATGAGAAGAGATTTTCTTACAACGTAGATTAGTGCTATGAATTCATCTGAATTTAGCTGTACAAAAATTTGAGCAAATCCAAGGTAATCAGATCCAAAGTAATTATAACTATATGCTAAATTCTGGAAAATGTCAATTTGGAAACCAGACTGAGAAATACCCCATGTAAATTAAATAATAATTTAATTAATGCCTGTCAGTTTAGGAAAAAAGCATGGCATACGTAAGTTTTTCCTATCTTGTATCATTAATAATAGTTAAAACCCGAAGAAGACATAAGACAGTATGCCGATTAACCCTTCGCAATTGAATGTTGAATAAAAAGTGACAATAACGAGATAATTTTCGTATAAATTAGTGGAGAATGCTTCAGTCATTATACCGTATTGCATATATAACTTTTCTTTATTACAAATAGATCTATCTTAACAGAAACATTGAAATTGGATACAAGTGAATAATGTTATTAAAATGTTAAAAATAAATAATAAACATATACATATATGCATATGCTCATATATTTGTAGTTATACAGATATATATATATATATATACACATATATATATCTCGCAATATAATTAACTTTTTGCGCGCTATAGTAATTTTTCATCTAACATTTTAAATAATGGATCATCCAACGATGAACTAAGATTAAACCAAGCAATAATTAATGTACAAAACATTCTCCACTTTATGCTACAATTGTTATATCTATCGGTCGTTGTCTATCACTATCTTTTGTTTAGCATTCAGTAACACTCAGCGCAAACAATCAAGCATTGTTGTCTTAGAGCACCTTCAATTGAATTCAAATAATAATGCATTTCCTCCAAAACCAGTCTTCGAATAATATTAACATGTTTTAATTGTATGAAAACTTTTGACTAGAATTTTCTATATTATGCATTGTGACAGGTTGTTGTCATGAGCAATAAAAATCGAAAAAAAAAAACATTCAAATAATTTCATGGATTTATCGTAAAAATGTCGTTAATAAATTACAATTGTTGTAAAATCAATATTTTGCCCCAAAAGAATGTATGAAAATTCACCTGTTAAAAGAAATGAATAAAAAAGAAACAAGATATTCTATTTCAAATTGGGAATTATATACAAATTATGTGTGTGCGATTGGAAGCATTTATAAGTGCAATATCAATGGGAATAGTTGCTACATTTGGATTCAATAATCCGAAATATAAACATTAGCTAAATCAATCGTCAAATCAGATTCGTACTGTGATATTATGAGATATTATCTACAAACTATTTTTATCACAATTACGCATTGAACACAGAAGTACAAAAAAAATAAAGGAGAAACAGAAAGAACTGGGATCTTCTGAAACTTGATGTCGCTCCTCTACAAAGAGATATTGCCAGGCATACTATACTGTCCTTTTCTAGAATGTGTATCAACCGCTCTAACCGCAAAGTAATAATTATTACCCTCAGAAAACTGTAACAAGAATTGCTTTTATAGTGCTGCAAATATCAATCAAAAACTCGCAAGAGACTCGTTCTGTCTCACCAGAGAGAAACCTGAGAATGGACATCCCGGCCTTTTTCGTGTATCAAATCTCATAGGGTAATGTCCACGTTTAGACAAGGACAAACAATTAAAGTTGATTATTCGTCTTTGTCTAATCCACGTAATAGTATGGAAAAGAATCACAAAAACGTGGACATTACCCTACGAGGTTTGGTACATGAAAAAGACCGGGATGTCCACTCTCAGATTTCTCTCTAGTCTCGCTGACGAATTATAACGTTGCTTCAATTTACCTGAGTCAACGTACACGCCATGGGAAGTGGCAGTGCACGCACATCCCCAACTTTTTTCCATAATGATGTGTTGGGATTTACACCAGCGACTTCTTGATACGCGTATAATTGATAACTCGCGATCTCCGCATATTTATCCGACAGGCTCATGTTCCAAGATAGCACTATCCCTATTGATGTAATAAGAATTAATATTATTAAGAATTTCGCAGCTTAAAAGTTGAATTTGAATTCAGAGGTGCCAAAGGGTTTGCAGGTTACTTCCATGTCATGATCCATTGGCTAATACAAATCAATACAGTTTATATAAAGGAAATCTTCCGGAGGAGCAGTTCAGTATCAGTACACTCCTCGCCCTGAGGAAGTGCGTGACAAGATCCATGAAACGTTGGTATTAGCAATGGATCATGATATGATAATAACCTCGAAACCTTTTGGCATCTCTGAAGAAAATTCTCGTGAAAGCCAAAAAATTATTGAATTTGAATTATTTGTGCAACATAGAGACATTCATAATTTACCATTTGGCACTTTTGAAATCTTCAACGATGGTGCAGGCGGTGGGAGTTTCCAGCCAGGCGTCGATGCGTAATTTGGAATGTCTGGCAGAGGTGCTGGATGCTGAAATAAAACAATCCTAAAATAATAATCACTGAACAAACATTGTAAGAGTAGAATCGTTACTTTTGATATTCACCTTACTTATTTGTACATTTGACAGAACTGGCGTGGTTAGTACACGTACAGTACCATTCGTGATCGTTGATATTCCTGTCGACAAGACAATGAAGTAAATAACATAATATAAAATATTGCAACAAAAAACATCACTATCATTTTCTATAATCATTTTCCATTGTAATTCTTCTAAAACATAGTTTTATAATGTTAAAACAGAATAGTAGTACAATATGTTTCTTTTAAAATAATTTAATTACCCTTGTAAGTGACAGTTGAAAAGGGTGGTCTATTAGGTGTGTTCACTGGCCGTATCTAGAAGATATTAAAATTTTTTATTTTCATAAACATTATAATTAACATTCACATTTTTAGACAGAATGTTGAAGAAATCGTTGTTTTGAACCTGTACTTGCTGATTAGGGTTCGATGCTATCAGCACCTGTCTTGGTGAGCCCGTACTACTTTGCATTACGTACGCCAGCCTGGGCGGATTCACATTATTCTAAAAAAATAAATATGTAACTATATATGTATGTACATTATGCACGCACGTGCGTGTATGTTGTTTTTTTTTCAGTAAACACCCTAATATGTAATAAAAAAAAGATATGAGAAATACTTACAACAAGGGCAGTTGGTGCTGGCTGTTGACTAGTTGTTATCACCTTTATACTAGCCGATTGTGTCGTAATTGCTACATTTGCCGGTATTGTTTGCAATACCCTTTGGAATGATTGCGCAGATTTCGATGTTGCATTCAATGGCTGCTCAATTATAGGAGCTGTAGTTATAGTCGTAACTTTTACATTTGCTGTTGAATATAAGGTTCGACATGTTAGATAATATGGAAAACGTGATAATTACAAATGTTAATTATTATGATAGAGATGGATTGTGGCCTTAAAAAAGACCATTTATATATAATACATATATGTATATGTATATATAATGTGTAAATATTTAGCCTATATATATAGAAAAATATAATTACCCGTAAAAAATACGGGCACTATATCGATATAATACCCATATTTTTTTACGAGCGAATATATATGAACATACATTTATTCTTTTCTTCCTCATCCGTAAGATCGATAAGATCGTTATTTCTTGGCTTTGGAGCTATCGCACGATTTACTTGACTTATTTTACCATTTAAGACAATAGCCTGCTGTGACTGCGACTGAATCTGCTGTTGCGGCTACATAAAGTTTGTATTAATGTAAAATTATAATTTATAAGTTTTATGATTTGTATTAGCTATATAAATGTTAATAGTTAAAAAATAAAATTTCATATTACTTACGGTAGTTAAGATTGGCTTCATATTCGCAGGCTGATTGGACAACGTTAAAGTGTGTTGAGGTTCCAAGGGTTTAGCAACAACTAAAGCCGCGGGTGTCACAGTTGAAATAAGAGGCGCCGTTTGGGCTGAATTCTGTGTCATTACAGGAATAGGCATGGTCACTATAGGTCGCGGTGATCTTACTTTGATTCCACCACGTCTTGGGCTTGATGAATTGTTATTTGTTTCAACAGAAGATGGAGAACTACTGTTGTTTATGATGTTTACTGCAGATTTGAGATTTGCAGTCTGCCGTAAGTTCTGTATTCCGTGTTCCTATTCAAGTAAAGCATTTAATCTCGATCAGCATTAGGAAATACCACGGAAATATAATATTAAAATATATTTCTGCGATAAATAAATACCGTTATGAAGTTGACTTGCAAGCCTACGGATCTGTTTATCTTTATAGGGGCAACAGATTTGTTGGGATTTGAACGGCGGTCTGACTCATTACGATGCAGAACCGTCTCGAAATCCTTCACTTGCTTCATTAATTGCTCCATCCTTGTACGTGTTATTTCCTGATATTTTTCTGATATGCGTGCTTGTTCTCTAAGCTGTCCAATTTCACTGCGCATCGCAATCGTTTCGACGATCTTTTGAATCAGAAGCTCTTCCAGTTCCTTAGGCATTAAAGTAACATTATCATAAAAGTAATATTTAGTAAGTAATTTTAGTTTTCGTAATCAATTGAGATTTTTCGTAGATATAACAAATCATTAAAAAATATTCTATTCTAATGTAAATATTTTTTACCTCCTGTGTAAGTTTTGGTAATTTCTCTTTAATATCTCTCCGGAAAAATTTCTCAATAAAAGATAATTGTGTGACATCTTTCTCTTCCTCAGAATTGATATTCATTTTCGCTTTTTTAATACCATTAAAAACCTCGCTGTCTGGACAATTACGTTTTATCGCTACTAAAGGTGGTACAGGAATTACATCCTGATTCAATTTATTATTTACTAATTGTTCCGTATTATCGTTAGAATCGCTGTCGCTGTTAAGATACTTTTTCTTGATTATCTCTTCCGCATTTCTAGCAGTCTTCCGCTTTTCTCGTCCACTCTCCTTTTCCTCTGTAATAATAAAATACAAAAATATTCTAACATATATATTAAAAAGTATATAGCAAGAATGACAAATAACCCATAATAAGAGATATTATATTCGACAACAAAGCACGCAGAGAATATGTACAGAGAAATTATTTATTTTAGAATATATATATATTTTATAATTGATATTAACAGAATTAAATGTTTAAATGATTATCTCTAATATCTTTTCTCTCGATATATTTATCACATACTTTATATTAAAATAAATATGTATAAATATCAAAATATTTCATGCAACATATCCTGAAAAATTTTTGCGTCCAACCAAAAGTTGTATATATAAATTATCCATAAATCCACTTAGAATAAAATAATACTGCACTTGACTACGCAAAATTGTTAAGATTTTTATCAGATTGTTCTGTTTAATGTTTTCTTTTTTTCTTCAGTTTTAATTACAGAAATTGATGAAATGCCATTTCTGTTTTTGACGTTAAATATTTCCTACCTTGTATTTCCTCGGCATGATCTTGTACCGTATCAATTGTTTTTTTAATTCGTTTTCTTCTTGGAATAACAGTGTCAACGTTTTTAGTTCCATTATCGTTATCAAAATCATTTACATCGTTAAGTGTTAATAAAACGGTTTGTCCTAATGGATTATTTACAGTTTCGATTACAGATTTATCATTAGTATCACTGTCTTTGTTCCTTACTTCTGCGTTGTCTTTAATATTGGATAAATCATTTTGATTTTGTATCAACGAAATATTCGTCACTTTCTCTGTGATTTTTGATACATTTGATGTATTTTCTGTTGTGTCCACAGGCTCTAAATTATTGTTTTTACTTTTATGTGCAATAGTGTCTTTATGAGATGAATCATTATCATTAGAATTTTCGGATTTTACTAAATCCACATAATCAGAAGTAACATTAGATTCGGTATATGAGCATTTCAAAGATTGATTATCGTTTTTAATATGTTTTTCTATTATTTTATCTTTTAAATTATCATCATTACTGTTAGAAATAGTTGTAATAGTAGACGATTTTTCACCATTATAAATTTTAATATTAGCAGAATCTACACAAGATTTATTATTGTCTACATTATCTAATTTATTTAGCTCACAGGTATTTGTCGTAATTATTTCTTTACTATCATTGGCTGTCTCGTTTAGATTTTCTTCATTGTGAATTATTAGTCCTGCGTTTCGAAGATTATCTGTTTGTTGTGTACAATTATTTATTATAGATAAATTATCATTTTTTGATGTTATATGTTGTTCAGATGCTATATTTGAACACTCATTTTTTACATCCGTAATTTTTAAGTCTTTGCTAGATGTGAACGTACACTTTTCACTAGATTCATTAACAGTCGCTCTGGTATTTTCCAAATTCCCTATACTATTTTGTATTTGTTTGTTTTCGGATGTATATTCACTCAATGCTGATTTTTCTGGAATCTTAACTGCTGCAACAGATTCGATGATATAATTAATTTCTCTCTTTGTTTTTAATATCTTTAAGATGAAGAACAATACAAGAACAATATGTGACTACAATACAAATCCAATTTAAAAACTAGCTTTTTGTGAAAACTTGATAATTATTTACAATGTGGCTTTTCATAAAGGTATTACCTGTGTTGTGTATCTCCTGCGTTGATTTTTCAATATCAGGCTTAGAAACTTTTTCTACAGTCTGCTGTAGATCAGAAGACAATGTCTCCTCTATGATTGTATCTGAAATTGGTTGTTCTGAAATCAAAATATTAATATAGATGCGAACAAATGCGGTCATTTCAGTAAATAAAAAAAATTCTGTTTTATTTAATCACAGTTTAAAACCTACTTTTTTTCTTCCCCCCTCTCTCTCTCTCTCTCTCTCTCTGTGACATTTGTATTTCATATTTCTAGATTTAACATTTTATCAATATTTTGGGATTTGTAAATTATTTTAAATATAATTCCATTAAATTCCATTAAACACAATGGAAAAAATATATCAAGTTACCATTCAGAAATTATTTAATAACTTAATAACATGCATTCAGAAATTATTTAATAATATTTAGTAATATGTGTATCAATCCAATTTTCACAAATAACAAATAGTTACATACCAATTGTTCTACTCTGTGATTTTAATTTCGCGATATTTGTGTCATTTACTGTAGTATCTTGCTCAGCATCCTCATCGTCAGATAATCTCAAGCGTAAACTATCATCAGACAGTGTATCTTCATCGTCTCCTTCTTCTTCCCCACCAAATAATAATTCATCTTCTTTTTCTTTTGACAGTTCGTCAATATCAATTCTATTGACACTTGAAACTGTAGAACTAGATTCTGAATTGCCTACTATTTCAGTTCGTGCCTTCTCCATTATAAAATTGAGCACAGTAAAATGTTACTGTTCATTTATCTTGACTATTAAATACCTTTCAATCTATAATTAGATAGAAAACTACATGAGAAATGTATACACAATATAGTAATACAATTTTATTCAATATACTTAATATATATCTGTACTTATAGCATATATCACTATATGTATACATACATAATATATTGTCAGAGATCACGTTAACTCGATTACTGTTAAACCAAAGGTAATTTAGAAAATTAACGAAAAAAATTGATACTCCACTAAACATTTATAAATCACAACTTTATTATCACAACATTCTTACTACAATCATAAAACAGCGCATTTATATTTGTCTAAATTTGGTTCTTTTATGTTGCTAATAACATTTATGATGTGTAACATTGACTAGAGCATAATTTTCTTTTTAATATTATATCATAAATTATATTTTTTCAGTTTAATAAATTATTTACAATAAAAATATTCAATTGTTAAAGCTGCTTTATAAAATATTTCAAAATCATATTTAATATCCCTAAAATAAAAATTATACGAGACAGGCACGTTCCATTTCACGTATCCCGATTGACAGCGCCATTGTCGCGTATATGTAATATGTATTCGACAGTGATGCCGTGTCATCAACTATGTTCGCGAAAGTATAGTCAACGAAAAAAGTAGCCAATCGTAGAGTCGGCATCATTACAGCTGAGGCACTATTTGCGTCTCTTGGGTAACCTTTCTATAAAATCTGTTTCTATACCGAAACCGAACATAATAAATTAATACAATAAAAATAGACGGGAAAAAGAAGGGAAACGCGGCAGATAATTCTGATCCAGAGTATCGATCATGTAGCTTTTTCTCTAAAGTAGAAACGTGAAAAGTGAAAATTTTTATGTACCCAGTAAACAAAATGTTAACAGAATATCGGCGGATTGATAGCAGATTTGATCAGTAATGTCAACAGACTGACATCAACTGCGACCGTATTCCGCTTCCGTTGTCAACAGAACCTGTTCTCATTATCAGATTGGCGACAGAAACCGAACAGTATCTACGCGCGAGGCAATCTCGTGGCAGACTGACAGCAGGAACCGAGTAAGGGCCCTAGTCTTGAGCACATACGAATAATTTTCGCATACGAAAATGATAGTTTCTCCACTATGATTGGTCGATTGTATACGGAATTGCCATTTTCGTATGCGATATTTGTTTAATAATAGGGTCCCAGGGCCCCTATTCTTGAAAAGTATCGCATACGAAAAACTAGGGAAATGCTATAATATATGTGACGCATACTATAGTATTTCCCTAGTTTTTTGTATGCGATATTTTTCAAGAATAGGGGCCCAGGAGGTTAACCATGTATAACTTTTCCCCCAGGGCGGAAACGTAAAATGAAATTTTTTTTGCATGTGTGTGTATACACGAAGTGGTCAAAGAACGATAATGATGTAAGTCACTTTTTTAAACTTATCGACTTGAGATGGAGTCTACTGAAGTACTATTTAACTTCTTTTTCCCGTCTATTTTTTCGTCGTATTAATTTGTTTCTCGATCATCATAAAAGTGACTTACACCCCACTTTCATCCCTCCATATGTACATACATACACAAAAATTTTCATTTTTGCGTTTCCGTGCTGGAGAAAACATTACATGATCGATACCCAGTTTTGAATAACAATACTGGGTTCCATTTGGTGACACAAGTCGACATAAGCGTTGTTCTATCTTTGTTCCTCTCTGAATATCGAGAAAGATAGAACGATGTTTGTGTTGATTTGTGCCACTAAATGGAAAGCATCCATTATTGCGATATCTTTAGGACAAAACAAGTGAGAATATAGAGACGAGTATTCCACTGTCAATAAACTTTGCACCCGCAAAATGTGTTTTTTACTCCAAACTAAAAGAAAGACCCTTAATAATTAAGAGGGTACATTCCAAAATGTCCTCTCCATGGAAGACTTTATTCTATATATGTTACGTGTATTATATACTTCGAGTAAAATTTTCCTCGGAAAAGACGTTTTGGCATGTACCCTAAAAAGAGAAACTAAAAAGATGAAATTACAGGTTTGTTCGCGTCGCCTGCTCTAACATGTTCCTATTTCTTCCATAGTTCCTATTCACTGAAGCGCGCTCGTTGGAGTGAGTAGGAACTATGGCAAGAACACGTCGAAGCATGCTGGAGCATGCGACGCGAACAAACCTTACATGTGAAAATGGCTTATGTTCGAAATATTTTCTCCCTCTTCTTTCCTCCTCCCCCGCCATTTTCCGTACATATGGTACGTTTAACCACTTTTCCGTCTTTTATAAAGACGTACGTCTCTTTTTTTGGAGGGGCCCAAACGGAATTCATATCTGTTTAACGTTTCGATGAAACTGTCGTTTATTCTTGATTTAGCAATCGATGCGTAGAAGTTATCCGCTGAACGAAAGCATTAACATTCTGACGCTTACTGTACCATGTACGCGCGCGCGCAAGCGCGCTTTATTCTGGATCGATGCCCATCGTGCACGAGGTCACACTATTTTGCTGACCATAACGACTGGCGCATAAATTCGACATCCCGATAAAATAAAAGGTTTGCACGTCGAATGTGCACAAATTGTCGCGGAAATTGTGTTGATGTCACGGACATCGAACGGTACAATCAGGCCCCTGCCTAGAGGGCCAAGGGCCCTGACCTTATCGAGACGAAAGATGGCGGACCGAGGACAAGTATCTCCCACTGAAAGTTGTACAGCGTATTCCTTCTACGAACGTGAAGGGTGTACATTTGAAGAAGGAACGGCTTTTATTCCTCGTGATTCTCGATGTGATCTCGCGTTTCTTTTTTTTTTAATTCAGGTGAAAGCCATCACGGTGAGTCATGCTGTCGTGCAATCTGAGACGGATACGCACTTGTCTGTGTAAAATCACTTAAAAAGTGTGTCACCTTAAAAAGATCATGCCCCTTAAACAAAGCAGATTTGTTTTGCATCGAAGAGTATGAGATCAAGAACGCACAAAGGAGCTGTAATTGCAAAGAGTACGCTTTATTAGTGACGTTCGTTCCGTACAAACGAGACGCCACGAAGCGTACGGTGACACTTGGAGAACAGAACAGGTTTGCGGAACGTTGCGAATAAGTATGTCGTTATCGCCGCTCCCCGCATCGCTTCCTTCGTATTATCAAACGCGAGTTAAAGAAACCGCGCGAACTAGCCTCAACGTCATCGACAGATCTGCGCATCGAGCGTGAAGTACACTGCACTTAGGCCCCGAGTTTCCGTCCCGGAGATCGCCGAGTGTGCACGAAGCGTCGAAAAATACGAGCAGAAACTGCGCTTGTGACGTTTCCCGATTCGCTGCGCAATAAGGAAATCTTTATTTTAACTGGCACATATATACCGACATTTATTTTTAAAAAAATTTTGCCGCTCCAGTAACATTCGTTTGGAGCAACTGCGAAGGTGTACAGCAATTCGTAATTCTAAATTAGGTCTCTTATTTGCCATTGGCATCAACATGACATCAAAGCCAAAAACATGGCTCGTTTCTGACAGCTGCATTCACACCATTTCATTCCATTCGAATTTTTCCTTTTCATATATTTCTTTTTCATATATTGTATAACAAATTATTTATATTCGAATTGAACATATGCATACAAATAAGGTCTTATCGATTTTATCACATTGCCACGAGTAGCATATATTTGCATAATTACTGTTATACAATTTCATAATCCTAATTACTTAGGTATATTGGGCCTAGTTTATAATCACCTTCTTGACGATGTCCAACATTCATATGAAATCTTTTAACCATTTGCTCATAAAGTCTTCGTCTCAGATTCGTTTTATTGAACGGTTGATGAATAGAACCCTTCCCTTTCGCTCGGCGCACCAATGATAGAGTTCATGGTGGGGAAAATAGCATCTAGCTCTTCACCGTATTGTAGAACGATCGATTTTCGTCGGCTCACTTCGATCTTAGGTCCAATATTTGACCATAATATAGATTCTGCAGTTTTGATCTTGAGTAATTAATTCGCTCTCATTGCTTAAGTGAGGATTCTGACCTAGAAAACGATTTTCAAGGTAAAGAATCGCGTAATTGGATCCTGATAAAATGAGTTAGTTTTCACGTATGATGTAGCTTATTAATCTAGTGAACAAAAGATGTCATGGACATCAGACTCAATAATAGATAATTCTTAAGCCATGGTGTATTAAATAGATATAAAACTTGCGCTCTTTAGTGTACAACTAGCAAAGTTTTAATATGTTCTGAAAATCCTTGAAAATGTATCACATTTAATTCCATCGTTTTCGCGCGTGCAAATGATATTGAATAGAAACATCAAAATGATCATTTTTTGTATCAATATTGTCCTCTTTCAAATTAATTGAAAAGTTATAGGATTGAATGAGACACATATTTTAAAGAATTTCTAAAATGTATCAAACTACTACTTTTACGTACTAGTTCTACAAAAGCATAAGTTTCATACCTTTGATAGATCATAGCTTAAAAAATATCCATTACTTATTGTTAGTATGTTTACACATAGTTAGTATTATATAAGTTCTAAATTTCGATTTAATAACGTTGATGTTATAACTTCTATCTGACTTTTAAAATAGTTTAAAGAGCGGGGCGATTTTCGGACGACTTTCTACAGTTTCCAATTTAGAATTTTGAGATATATGCCACAGTAATGAACTATGAAAAAGTTGAGATCATTTCAGAGCCAATAAATCGGTTTTTCGTCCCGATAAGGAAAAAATTTTTTTGTCTTGAAACTTTGTTGTTTAAATACTTTATTAGAATTATTTTCACATTTTTATAATGGTATATATGATATAAAAATCTATTCTTATATAAAGATTTTCAAGATAGATAAGAAAAATATAAATTGCATATGTATATTATTATTATTATATAACAAAAATGATATATTTTAAAAGTTCGAAATAAAGTTCAAAAATTCTTTGTGATAAATTTTAAAACACGATATAACGCAAAGCGATTGTCATACTCGCAACAGATAAATGAGGTTCTTTTGCGAATAGAATGTTTCGAACACACTACACATGCTTACATATAAGTCTTCAGTCTTTTGAGTTATTTGCTAACTTTGAAGGAAAGAGATGACCGGTTAGCCGATGTGCTTACTTTCTTGTGCTAGGTAAGAGATGCGTTCGGGGAGACGCTATTAGCACTATTTGTGTCATTCTATCCTTGTTTACGTGTAATGAAGATAGACTGACACAAATAGCGCTAATAGCGTCTTCCCGAACGCACTTTAGATCGTCATGTTGAAACAAATGAATTTGTCTGTGAAACAAAGGGTTACTTCTTCGAAGAATTCTGAACTTATAAGTTAGAGTGAAACAAACTGTACGAATAAAAATGTGAGAATAAAATTGAGTAGTATTTTTATTATCAATTTAATTTCTGACACAATTCCTATAGAAAATTCGGAGCCAAAACACAAAACCATCGACGCAAAAAATTAATTAATGTGAATAAGAGAGCGATTATACTGACCGTAACCATATGCCGTAATCTATAAGAATTGATCAATTACATTCGAGTATTCCCTTCTTATTTGACTGTAAAAAGGGAATACTCGATTATGATTAATTAATTCTTATAGATTACAGCATACGGCCAGTATAAACGCTCCCTAAGATTTCGGGGACTGTAAAATATTGATACGCGTCTGAGCAACGTTCATCCATTCTTCCAACATGTCTCTATTTAACATTTCATCCCAATCTTTTCTTATATAAAATTTTTTGCCCAAGCTTTATTTTTCTTTTCGTCGCTCAGTAAGCACTTTACTGATCTAACACCTCTTTATTACCACGTTACGTTTTCTCTCTTCCATTTCCTTTTCCGTGCCATTTTTCTTAATACTGCTACCTCCTTTACACTTAAACCTCCCATGCTCTCCCAAAATCTTGTTCTTCCCCTCTCCTGCTTACCACGCTCCTGCTCTCATTAAATATGCTCCTGCATTCTCCCTTTCCTTTCTCCTTCTCCATCCCTCTTAAATCCCCTTTATTGTTTCCATCTCTTCTATTTTTTCCTTGTACATTCTTTCTAAACTCTCTTATCTCTTCTTATATTCCTTCTCCATTTTCTCCTGTTTATCCTTATATCAGCTCTCTCTCTCTCTCTCTCTCGCATCTTTTCCTTTAATATTCTAAATTTTCCTCCCACAGCCTTTCCTTAATTTTAAAACTCTCCATCTCTGACTACGTTTACACGTACTGGTAAAAATGGTTTTAGTAAAAACTCCGATGTTGGTGCCTGTTTACACGATCAGGCGTATTTTACCTTCAAAAATAAAATAGCTTTATATAACCTGATACGGAACCTGAGACGAAATATCCTTTGTCATTTTTTAACCTTAACGTCTAAAGTTGATAACATCGAATTTTGATACGTTAAACCGATTGAAGACCGTTTACACGGCCATCGTAAAACGGTTTAGTAATGTCAAACCTGTTTCAGAAGAGGTTTGGATTTACTAAAACGGTTTTAATAACATCTGTATTAAGAGATGTTTACAGGACATCTAACACCGGTTTTAACTAAAACGGTTTTTATTAAAACGGTTTTACCAGTGCGTGTAGACGTAGTCATTATCTTTTTCTTCTTGCACATGGTCCTAAATTCCTTCTTAATCTGTTCGTAAATTTTCCTTCCTCTCCTCTCCTTATTAGTAGCTCTATTATCTATCTCTACTATCTCTCTCTGTCTTACTAGTAGCGCCTAATTAAATAATACCTCTTTTCCATTACCCTTCTTCTCGGAAACTAATTTCTTTTCTCTATCTATTTTCCCCTTGCCCGCCTTCTTGTTTGTTTTTCCCGCATCTTTTGGTATCCTAACCTCTCTTTTTCTCTTATTTCTTATCTTCAGATATCTCGTCTTTCGCTTTACGCTCAGCCTCTCCTTCACTTATTCTAGATAAGCTCTCACTATTCTCTATAAAAATCGCTTTATACTCACCAATTTGTTATTCTCTAATTATCACACAATCTAAAAATCGCAGCTATTGCAGTCGCATCCGCTCACATCCACGCCACCTAACCTAAGTCCCGAGCGTCGCTTACGTTTATTAACACTTTATAATTTCTGAAATCTTACTGAAATCTCACATTGAATTTTTTTGTGTCAATGTCTTTTATGGCTTTGCGTTTTGGCTCCGGGGGGGGGGGGGAGCTCAAATTAGACAGACCTGAGCTACATTACAGTGCGGATCGAATAAAACATTCTATTTTGCACTTGTGTTCGAAAAAATCGCTCTTTAGCAAGAGATAAGCAATTCTCCTAATTACAAATATCACAATGTTTACATTACGTAATTAATATTATGTTACGATTTTCTTAATATTTTAGTCATAATTTGGTAAAGTAGAAATTCGTTTTTTCTCATATAATGATTATTGTTGACATTTATAATGATTATACAATAAAAAAAATTGTTTAATGGAAATCAGTTGAAGGTAAAAAAAAAACAACCTTATTTTTTTATCCTCCATTATCTAGACTTATCTTTATAATCGATTATAATCTTTATTTATAGATTATTAGAATACATATTATTTCCATCTTTATCTTAGATGAAAGAAACGTCTTTTTTAAATTATTTTAATGTGTAACAGAAATCGCTATGATTGGCAGTGAGCAATTGCAACAGTGTACAAATGAACCACTCTCTAATAACTCCCATAACAAAAGGTCACATTCACGTCACAGTGGAATTACAATAGTTCGGAAAAAAATATGATGTCACTAATTTTATGCGTATGTATTGTAAGACGTACGATTATTATATATGTACGTAAATATCTACGATTTCTTGTAAATTTTATGGCTAGTAAGAAACTATCTGCAAAAATATTGTATAAAGGTATAAGCACTTAAAAATTCTTACAAGTCTTACAGGAATATGTTACGAGTCTTACGATTCTGCTTAGAATTTAGGCAATAGCTTGTTTCACTCTAACTTATTGTGCACTAGTTCAGAAGTAATTCGGAATTCTTTGAAAAAGGACTAGCGGGATTCTCTAAACGTCTTATCGATGATTATCGCTATCGTTAACTAGCAACAGCCAATGGCAGGATAATCCTGAAAGAAAGCGCGGCTGTCGCTAAATAACGATAGTGACAATTGTCGATAAAACGTTAGAGAACAGCGTCCCACAACAGACCTATGAATGGCGCTATATTGACTGTATTAAAGGTCTGTTCTTTCTCAAAGAATTCTGAACTAATTCTGAATTAGTGCAATAAGTTATGAAACAAACTATAGCAGTCTCACTCTAACTTATTGCAGCGGTGTACACCAGTTCAGAACTTGGGGTGGAAAAAGAACAGACTTAATGACCAATAAAATTATATTAAGTTTGAATGACTACAAATATGGTATATATGCATGTACACTCAAGGACTTCAATTCTTTCCCTCGGTTACTTTTTTGAAACTTCCAAAAATTCAGGTTATTTCGTTTTTATGTCAAATTTAGTTGTAAGCAGACGTAAGGTTTAGTCGTGTCGTTAATCGCGCACGGACTACGAGCATTAATGTAAAAAGGTGATCATTTCTCAGTTTGTGAAAATTTTCGAGGGAAAGAATCGAAATCCTTGGGTGTACATATATAATATATATAATTCACATTGAATTATTTAAGCATTAAAGATCCAGCTTCGACGTTATAAACTTTAAATTTTGATTTATTGTGTATTCACATATACGGTCTTAATAAATCATTTATTAAAATTATATTAAAATGTAACAAAATGGCGGCATTGTAAATATCAAAGTTCTTATTATTAAAAAAATTTTACTCAATAAAAAAGTATTTTAAAAATATTAATAAATTTTAAAAATATTGAATTGATTCTAGTAAGGACAATGGTAATATTCATATATAATTATTATATTGGTAATAATCATATAAATTAAAAATTTGTTGTTAGTTTGTTCAAAATGGATAGAAATCCTCCAATCATTACTTCATCAAGATCATTACTTTAAAACAAGATATGTGCAGTGATTTGTGGCTTTGAGAATATTGAGCTCAGAGACTTTCAAAAATTCATACATGTTTAAATATAAATAAATATTTATTCAAAACCTTACATTTCTATTTTTAACATTTTACTTTTAAAAAATAAATAAAGTTTAATCTCTTAAAAATCGTTTTTCTAAATCACAATCCTCCCTTAATCATGTTTACATACATCCATATATTATCCAAGCATGCTTATGACAAAACTTCTCATCCTTCAATAAAACAATTCTAACGTCAAATTATACGATATTCATAGGATTTTTTATTAATCGGATATAATCAAGAATAATCTTAACGATATTTAGAACAAATTGACACACTATCCCTCTTTTCATTTTCTAAGATATTAAACAAGTTATATTTTCTGATACGCAAAAAAGGAAAATTTTTAGCACTAGAGCGGTTATTTCAGTAGAAGAGCACAGCTATTTCGATCAACTTATTTTAAAAAGATTTTTCATACATCTTAGAAATTCCTACTTCAATGAATTCTTTCTATTTTATCTCTTATACGCTTACTTTCCCCTCAAATGTCCAAATGTCCCAGTGCGAATATTATCCGAACTGAACTACATTCTTTTCTTAATAACGAAACCAATAAAACTTATTACGCAATTATAGTTAAAAAAAATATGTGTCCGGAAAATTTTGTCGGTAAATTTACAATTTACCAAACATTCGATAAAAAATAACTATTCTTTTTTTTAGCGGATTTCAAATTATTGAATTATTGAGGTTTGGCAAACTAGGTGTACCAAATGTTCTGTGTCTACTTGTAGTGTCTACTAATTATGCGGTCACTAACGCGATGACAAGCGATTCACAGAGACAGACTCAACATAACCTCGGCTCTCATCATTGGTCAAACGTTAAATTCCTGGTAATTTTAACACTACTAAAAAAAAAACAGATGATCGGAGAAAATCTCTCTTTTTATATAATTACGTACGAACAATAATTCACTTATAATGTCTTTCGACAAATTTGTGAACATAGTGTAAAAAATTTAATATCAGATTTTAAAATACAATAAAAATATTACCGAATGTTTCATTAACGATAACAATAACAACTTGCTTTATTACCGCATACGAAACTTTTGTAATTTATTCAAACAATTCCATTAAAGTAGTAAGTTCAATATAAATCTATATACATAAATATATATAATTTATGAAAACATTTCACGTTTGAAAAATCTAAATGATATAATGTACAGAAGATTGGATATAATAAAAAATTTTTTAAGTCTTAAAGTATCGAAACTTTTAAAATGTCAAAAATATAATGTACAATTTTATGATTTAATTTTATACGCAGTATTTTCTAGGAAGATCAACTGAACAAGTAGCGCCATCTCTTGTTACCTTTACGACAAAGGACACTAGACTACTACGCAAGATGCCAAATCTGAACCATTCCCGCACCAAATGGGTGAAGGGGCACATACATAAACTAAAGATCATTACACGTAAAAAAATTTTAATCGTAACCGTAAAGTCGTAAGCATATTTATTAATCACAGTCAAGCGTTTAAAACGTAAGACCGCAATTTTGATTGTGATTAGTCGATTTGCTTACGGCTTAACAGTTACGACTAAAATTTGTGTACGTGTGATGGCCTTAAGAAAGAGCCACGTATATGTACGTGGCTCTTCTGTAATGTACGTGTCCCCTCCACCCATTTCGTGCTGGGGCAGGGGTTCAGATTTGGCATCTGCGCATCTCTGCTATGTCGTCTATATCGCAACAATGTTAAAACATGTGAAATTATCTTTAAATTTATCATATTTTAGTTGTAAAATTTGTTTACAAAGATAGAATCCTACACTAATTGATTGTAACCAAATACATTATTTTTTATTTAACATGAGATGGCACTAGATAGTAGAATCCAAAATATTTATTATTATTAATATTTATTATTATTAAAAAGTTGTGGAACGTCAAATTTATTCTGAGTCTCAAAAGATACGAAGCCTTTTATACTTGAATATATTTAACATACAAATATAAGACTGATAACACGAAATATTATGCGTTCATAACCTTCATATTTTTATATGAATGCAATTATAATAACAAATCATGTTTGTTTGTTTGTGTGTGTGTGTATCGGAAAATTTCCACAAAAATTACATTAGACTAAATAAAAAAATATTTTCAAACTAACATTACGCGTGTTTGAATCGATTAGTATGATATTTTGGTTACGTATTATTGATGAACGATAAATACAATTCGTAGAAAAAGGTCATTCAAGGTCATATACCGGGCGTGTCCAATTTGAGCTCCGGAGCCAAAACGCAAAGCCATCGATGCAAAAAAATCAATATGAGTAAGATTTCGGAGACTGTAGTGTTGATACGAGTCTGAGCGACGCTTATCACACTTTACAGTCCATGAAATTTTACATTGAATTTTTTTGCGTTGATGGTTTTGCATTTTGGCTCCTGAACTCAAATTGGACAGTCCTGCCATATACAATATTATTTGTATCTACATAATATCTAAGATTTTAAAAAATGATTAAGACATATTTATCAAATTTCATGAAAATATGTACCTGTATATTATTGATTTATATACTACAGTACGATATATGCAACAAATGAATCATACTTCTCGCACAATAAAAAGTTCTATTAACTTCAAATTAATGAAATAATCGAGTATATATTTTAGAAGAAACAATAACAAAATGGCGTACACGAGCTTACTTAAAATGGTGCCCTTGTTATGTCAAAGCGTCTCTATAGCAACAGCAAATGCTTCCGTGTAGATTTGGGTCTTAAGGCCCATTTGCTAATTTTAACAATGCATGGATTTTTGCATTATAGACAATATGCTCGGCTAATCCATGATTCATTTATTTTAAGAAATTATATAAAATTACAAGTAAAAAAATTATTTGTTTCGTTTTAAGCCTTGAAATACGCCCTATCAAACGCCATATAAAATCTAACGGGATTAAGATGAATAAAGTAGTTTAAAACATAAGTGGACAAAATTTTGATAAAACGTTTTATCCGCATAACGTTTCGAATCCCACAACGAATGCTCGTCGTAAATCCAGAGGATTTAAGCCTACGTCAGAACATTATCAAGATAATAATTGATGAACTTACGTTATATTATTGTGTAAGAAGATCTCGGACAGTGGAGTATTAATTTTTCGACACGTGGAAACAGGTTATATTTACGGTAAATATGCCAGAAACGGACTGCACTTCTGATGCTAGACCATCGAGTAACTGCAACATCGCATACTAAACAAGCGACTCTGGCAACGTTGCCAGTTCTCCCACTCTCTCAATTTCATCTAATGTACATTAATATGGGAAATACGACAAAATTGCGATGAATTAAGGGCAATAGATGCATCCGAATGAACAGAATTTATTAAAAAATGAAATATCAAAGTACGAGGGCATCATAACGTGAATAAACGCGTATCCAAAAAGTTATCGACCTATACGTCGTTATGTTTGCACACAATCACATCTGCGCATGCGCTGCCTAAATTCTCCGATCAACAATTTTAGCCTAACTGCAGGAACTGCCCATTCCTTCTTTTCCTTTTATCGAAGCACCTTACACGCTTACGCGAAAATATTCCTTTTCTGCTTTCTTTTACCATAATTGCACACATGCACGAGACATGATCGACTGACCGTTATCGCGAATCCGGTAAGTAAGGCAGATACATCACATACGTCACGATGACGCTGTTATTACTACTAAGTGTATTGTATGATTGTACACATAATATTTGCAAAACAACGGTATATGTTAATTAGTATCAATATAAAGATGCTTAGGATCATGTTACTATTACTATATTGTTTTGAAACAACGATACGACAGTATCATGCTTCAATTCTTTTGTATGTACGGGAATCACCTTTGATGCGATTACTCGAAACCATCTTGTTTTTCTATTTGTACGTAACATAGTCGTTCTTTTGTGATATATTTTTTGTCATTGTATCTATTATATAAATATTCCTATATAATTTTTTTAATAAAATTATAAAATTATACGAAATTATATTATTTTTTACAGTTTTTAATTTAGGAGTAGTATTTACAATTAATATCTTCATTAATCAATTAACGCGAAACAATAAATAAAATAATATATAAAATGAAAATCCAGTACAGCACACAATATTTATAAAATATTTACTAAATATTTGTAAATATTTATAAGACTTAATTTACGTATTTTGTAAATATTTTTGCCTTAGATTGCATAGATCATAAATATTTATTATAAACATAAAATATTTATCTTATATTTATATTTCAAAAAAAATAGTAATAAATATTTATTATAAATAGTCTGGGAATAAACACTTTTTATTTCTTTATTACACAATTTTATGATGAATTATTTTAAAATTGATTATTATTTTGAAAATATAGATTAAATAATTAATTATTTTAGTAAAAATAAACAAGCATACATATAATTACAATATATACATATAAATATATACAATATATACAATATATACATTAAATATATATACAACTTGTATATCATTTATACATGCTTGTTGGTGTTCATCTTTATTAAAATAATTATTTATTTAATATTATACACACATATACAGACACATACGCGTACATAGATATCTCTTCGGTGTTTTTGATGTACACTGTTAGAAATGTTACCACGAGCTTCCTTTACATGTAAATGAAGCTCGTGATTATAAACGAAATTATAAGTAATGAATGATTTAACTGAAAATTAAGTTACAATAATTACTTAAATGTAATGAACGTGTACATTAAATTTCATGTAAATGTACACAAATATACTTTTCAGTTATAAATACATTAAATTTAATGTAATGCCATGAAATTAAGTTCAAGTTGTGTAAATTAAAAGTATATTAAATTTCATGAAATTTTTAACAGTGTAGAATGTTATGTCTCTCATTTTAAGTGCTATAATTTTGTATTAATAAAGATACGTACGCATTTATGTACTTGTTATCATTATATTCTTTAATGTTTGACGCTTCGATTGAAAAAAAAATTCATTACATTATGTTCATTTTTGTAGGATAATTTTTACTCGAAATATGTTACCTCCGTGACACAATGTATAAGTGTGACACCGAATACACAGTAGTGGTCATAAAAATAGAGCCACCTATACATATAAAAATTAATAAAATATTATTTTACTCGTCTATTTTTTCACTTGCTGGTAATGTCATTTATTGTACATCAGTAACAATTCATATCAACTAAATATATAACCAATTATCGTCGAAATAAGAACCATATGTTGTATTGTGAGAATCCTAAAGTGCTCTGTGCTATAAGTAGTCTGGTCATGATAATAAAGCCAAATTATTAATGTAAATTTATTAACATAAAAAATTTGTTAAATATTAATGTGATTTCATAGATTAGGTATAGTAAAATTATAATTTAGTTAAGAGTTACAGAATAGGCCCCTAAATTTCATTATCACGTTGTTTACACGTCCTTTTTATGTCGATGTTGTAACTCTAAGCCTCTTCCTCAAATGACTTTGAGTTAATACATTGATGTAATAACTCCGTCGTAAAATAGCGTTTACACGGCATCTAACGTCAGTAGTTATAACATTGATAATTTCAGCGTAAATCGTACCGTGTAAACGTAGTCATTGTTTTGCTATACCTAATCTACTATGTTACTATGTAATGATAACATCACCGATAAGTGAAGACAAACCGATAAAATAACTATGTTATTAATTTTTATATAGATGCTCTTTTTTACGAAAAAAATTGATACGCCATTAATTTTCTTACGTTCGAAATTTTTTTAATGATAAATGTAATAAATCAGTAGCCTCTTTAATATTTTTGATAGAATAAGCCATTTTTAAGAAAGAAAAATAAATTAGAATTTGTAGATTGCAAAATCGTTTTATTTAATTAGTAGTGATCTCGGAAATGGCTTATTCTATTGAAAATATTAAAGAGACCTTTTTTCTGCTGATTTCTCAATGCTTTTCTGCTGATATTTCATCATCATAAAAAAATTTCAAAATTTTATTTTGATCCATAAATAAAAACCAATCGTTCCGGTGCAGACAACATTCCGAAATCCATCAAAAAAAAGTGTTGCGACCTTTCTGTGACCCACTATACCAGTTTTTTTCGTAAAAAAAGGGGTACCTGCTTATTCTTGGATCCGCCCCTGATAGAATAAAAAAGTAAAGTGTATTCCCCGCGAAAAGATGAGGTTTTATGTCCTTCACACGTACAAAGTTCCATCACAATAGTCTGAATGGTTTTTGAAATTTTTTTCAATTTTAACACCAGGTACCTTCCTTACTTGAAAATTGAAATGGCTCATAAAACTAAGCGAACATATGGTCATATGAAGTTTCTGTCTTGAGTTTGTGTGAGGAATCACACTTTAAAATTTTTTAGCGTACTTAGGACACACCCTGTATATATAAGATAGGCGTATTCAGAGAGAATTCGAAAGTTCACAAAAACCTTCCTAAAAATTTTTATTTATTTTTAATTATAAAAACATACAACTTTACTTTGGACTCTAAGTAAATTTTCTGTTGTTACGTAAAAAATTTTTTTCTTGCTTATATCATGATTGTGTAAGTAATTTTTGAAACTTTCATTAGTTAAAAGGTTGACAGAATGTCCTATACATAAAGAAAATTTTTGCAAAGTTTTTTTAAGTAAAAAAACATGCAAATAGTATTAATAATGGGGAACATACACTCAGAAAGTATTATAAAGATGATTACTTTTATGAATTTTTTTCACGGAAACTATTATCTTTATTTAAACAGGATTTTAAGCAATATTTTTCGAATATATTAATATTCATATTTATGAATATTACATAAAATTTTTAATTAAAAATATCAACAAATAGCGCCGGATCAACTTAACGCTAACAATCAACAATTGTTAACGTCAAGCTGGTCCATGTAAGAAATAATGATTTACGGCCGTAACGATCGCAATTTCCATATACTTTATCTAAAACAAAAAACCCCAACAAATGCTTGAAATATATTCATAAGTCTAATCCTTGTAGCCGATTTTAGAAACTTTCTCAATTTTGACAAAATGACACATTTTTGAATTTAAAAGGTGCAATTTTTGCCAAAAATTGTTTGTTTTTTATTGTAAAAAAATAATTATGGCTCTAAAAAGATTCTTACGACCAAGACTAGATGTATTAATATATTTTAAGAATTTATTGAGTATTTTGTTTTTTAAATAAACCACCCAAAAATACAAACTATAATATAATAACATTACATCAATGTTGTAATTTCTTACTTAACACACACGATTTAGATAGCACAAAATACTAAAAAATAACGAGAAGATATCTCTTTTTATCTGTCTTTTCAACAAAACGAGAAAGATATTTAAGATGACAAAAAAGCATCGTTTTTATGTTTTCTTTTCGGTAAGTCGACGAACAGATGTGTATAAAACTTTTAATTTTATCTTCTTTTCGGTGTCATATATTCGGATTACATGCACCCTAGCTGTATCAGTGCGTTCAGATTGTCGTATTTAGCAAATGAAAGCTGACCCAGTGTATACTAAATTTATATTCAGATCAACCGAATGAACTGAACGAGTCCAAAAAATGTTGTACGTTTCTGACAGTGCAATTTGGTGAATCAAAGTGGTTTTGTACTTGCACCCTGTCAGGGCAGTACCAGAGCAGAGTCAGTGCATGTGAGCATAATTTGCCATTAATCACTTAAATTTTAACATGCAAACTTCCGTAAGACCAAGGGATCGATTCTGTATTTTGAAATAAGATGAAAATTGCAAAAGTGAGCGAATTTACTCGAATATTTATAATTTCATTGAATAATGCCTAGTAAATTTGTTCACTTTTGTAATTTTTACCTTGTTTCAAGGTACAGAATCGACCCTCCGGGGTACTATTCTGTAACTGTTTTAAGAATTTATTTTACGTTTGTCGTTGCGCAGATATTTTATATAGTGAAAAAGCTGCGCAACGACACCGACAACTGTCGGTAAGCGTGTAAAGACAATTACAAAATAGGAGCCCAGCCGTCTTTAATAGTATTATATCTCGTTGATGTCTAAAAAATCCCTTTTAACTTAAATGTTTATGAATTCTATAAGTAAACAATAAAATATCTGATTATCTGTTGATTAACATTTCAATATAGCTTTTTTTTAATGTAGAAAAAATATTTACTTTTTGTCAACAGCTAG